TCAACCAGCTCAAAGAACCGCACCCTTAAGACACCGTCCACCTCAGTGACGGGAGGAAAAGCGGACTAGTGCCTCAGCCACAAAGGCGAGGAGCCGAAGGTGCAGCACGAAGGCAAGGTCAGGGCACCTCGACAACTGTCTTCGTCCAAGCAAAGCTTCCAGCGACCAAGAACCTGGTGAAGTGTACAACAGGAGTAGTGCAAGGACGGCAAGGATGTGCTATTGCGCTAAACTACTGCCCTCGACCGTCGGTCGGAACTGCCACTACCCCTCCCAAGCGCCGAGCCCACAGGGGCAGGAAAAGCAATGGTTGGGTTTGAGCCTGTTACGGAGCCAAGCACTAGCTACGGACTCGAGGCTGGGCGGCCACGACGGCACTGCAGGTTTGAGCACTCACAGCCTTGAGCCAGGAGCAAACTTTTCACACCCCCTCATGCCCGAGAGTCCTCTTCACTTCTCCTCAAAAGTCTTCTTCGCGTTCTTCAGGAGAGCGAATCCTAAACCCTCTGGATACACACCTGACTCAGGAAGAGGAAGGTAGTAGTGACCGTGTCCCTCAGAGCACTGAGACGAAAGTCCCCACACAAACTCTGTGCGGTTAGACACAAACCACCATCTTTTCCAAGGTCGTTGGTCACCCTTTTCAAAGCAACAACGATCCACAAGGCAACCCTGATCCAAACGAAGCTTCTTAGAAACCCTCTTAAACACAGTCTCATCCCACAGTCCTGACCTCTCAGGCCACTCGTGAGAAAGCAGAAGGTTCGGGGAGCCCACGTAAGGCTCCAACAGCTTCTCGATCCTTTTCCAGGACCTCTTGTGCACGGTCTCCACTTCTCCAGGGCCTTTCCTCCCTTCTTAAACCTCAGGTGCCTTAAACCACACCCAGCAGAGCACGGAGTAGACAAGTGAGCGTATACCTTAACCTCACCCTCAGCTACGACTCCGAAAACCTCTCTCAGAAGACACAAGCCATTATAGCTCAGAAGATCAACTTCCTTAGTCACCCCAAAGTAGGCGATCTCGGGGACCTTCGAGCAGGCTTTGGACAACGCACTTCCTTCTTCACAACACAGTTCAACCACTACGTACTTAGCTTCACCACGAGCTAGCTTCAAAGCAGCGGCTTTCCAGGAAGGCGGAACAGACGGAGTAAAACGTTCGTTTTCATTGGGCTCTTCAAAAGACACGTGCACCTCAGTAGGCTCACTCTCCCAGGCCTTCGGTTCATCTACAAGGCCAGAGGCATCGTACAAGCTAGACAAACTTTCGTTGGTGGGGCTCTTCGTGAGGGCGTCCGCAGGGTTTATCACTCCCGGTATGTGTTCTATGGTAAAACGACCCCTGGCCACCAGCTCCTGAAGGAATGCGGCACGAAGTTCGATGTGCCTCACTTTCCTCAGGAGGGTCTGCATCTTCGATATACAAACCGCCGATTCGGAATCAGAATATCCCTTAAGAACATAATAACCGGTTTCCCTGTCTTTCGGCATACCCTCGCGGATGGTCTCCACAAGCAAAGCAATGTACAACCCTTCACGAGCAACCTCTGTGAGTGCAGCGAGTTCTGCTTCCGCACTTGAGAGTGCGGTAGTCGTTTGTTTCCGGCTGAAGCTTTTCAGGGAACAGTTCTCCCACGTGATGATCCCGCCGCTTACCGAATTCAGACTCCAGCTCGCGTCCGTAAAACAAGATACAGAGGCAGGGTCCGCATCATCTTCCAAGATCTCCCTCTTGCTCGGAAACCTCTGGACCTTGTGCGGAAGACCCTTGACCCAACGAAGGACATCCCTCATACAGGTCTCGGCAGCCTCGTCAGGAGCTGCTTGGTGGCGGCCCAGAAACCCACACACAAACTGCAGGTCTGGTCGTGACAGAGCCGCCCAGGCCAAACGGCCCAGAGTTCTTCTGTACCTTTCGTGAGCAGCTGGACTGATCAGCTCAGTCTGGCCTTTCTTCAGCAACTCAGCATAGCGGCGTTCAAGGGAAGGGAGCTTTGGGGCAGGTTTGGTGATTCCGTACTCCTCGCAGCAGGAACTCAGGTACTGTTCGTCTAGCCCGAAATACACCGTACGTTCCCCTTTCTTACGGCGAAAGATCCGCCGACCGAGAAACGAGACTTCCCCGGGGCAATCTTGACTCAACTCGCCCGTAAGTTTCAGTTTGTATCTCTTACGCAACTCCTCATAGAACCGGCGCCCCTCAGCTTCATCTTCACTATAGATCAGCAAGTCATCCACATAAAACAACACAATCGTCAAACCCTTCCTCGTTAGACGACGGAATATAGTGGGGTCCAAACTTGCTTCGAAGTTCTGAGAGCGCAAGTATTCAGCCAACTCGCAATACCAAGATAATGGAGCAGAGCGCAATCCGTTCATCGCTTTACGCAATTTGACGAAAACTCGTTCCCCAGTCCCCTGGGTGCTCACATTATTCGGCAACTCTACGAATTCTGCCCTCGCTACGGGAGCATGCATGAACGCTACCGAGACATCGCAGGACAACACACTGCCACGTCGGCAGAGCATTGACAGAAGCAATCTCAGACCCTCCAATGAAGTAGTAGGAGAGTAGATTCCCTCACTCAAGGTGGTGCCTCCCATAGAGGCATAATCCCGCACGACTAGCCTAGATCTATACAGTCCCTTCTTCTTGACCGTGTTGACCCACCTGCTAGTCAAAACTCGCCTGCCGTTTTCCTTAGCAAGACGGCGAGCTTCGCGCTCAGGGATCACTTCCCCAACCTTGAAGGATTCCAACTCTTCCAACTCAAGCTTCATTGATGCGTAAAGGAGATCGGGTTCTAGCTTCTCTCCCGAAGTCTCAGACACAGCGTTCTGGGGAACAGCACACCTTATCTTCGTACCCCCAAACTTCAAATCAAACGACTTTGCAACTGCAGTGGAGGTGGCTCGCAGGTCAGGCCCTCGAAACAGGGACTCAAGATAGTGATTCGTGAGCCAGTCTATTTCCATATCCCCCTCATCGTTCACAACCTCCTGGTTCTCAGGCGCTTCCGACGGAGAATAGTCAGCAAGCTCATCTTCAATCATCTCTTCATCACCATCTTCATCCATTCCCACACCAGCCCCCTCATCAGGAGCATCATCACCAGGAGCCTCCAACGGATCAAACAGTATGGGCCTCTCGGGGTCCTCAGTGTCCTGCAGAAGAGGCTTAGCTAAAGATAGCTCTTCCAGGGTCTTGGCATCGTAGATGTCACCTCCCTGAATCATTCTGGCGACGGGGAATATATCTATTTCCCTGCTTCCGACAGGGACGGCAAAGATGCCGCCACCTTTGGCGTGCACCGGTCCCAGATAAACCGCTTTCACGGTCCGGGCGCCCCTGAACTTATCATGGTGCGCCTTGGACTTACTGACCTGAGCTTGAACCAGACACCCGAACGGTCTCGTCCGAGTTCGGTTCACAATCTCCTCATGCAGTCGATCTATGCTAGTGCTCGAATCCCCGACGCTAGTACACCAGAGGTTATAGCACCTAGCAACATAGAAAACACAGGCTTGCCAAAGCAAACCTCCCAAAGGTAACTGATACTTCCCAAGCTCAACGGCTTCCGTTTCCTGCTTCACCTTAGCAACCTCTTTCTCCAGGTCCATCCAAACAGACCAGAAACCCTGCTTCATAGTTTCAACCTGCCTCTCAATCGATCCTTTCGACTGGGGCCGATACCCCGGAACCACGTCAATCAATGTTGCGCTGGCAGGGCTGCTATCGCACTTGGTGAGTTTCTCGGCAAGGGCTCCAAGAGCCGCTTCTTGGTCCATCCGAAATGTAACCGCTTTACCGACTAATCCCATTTCGCGAATCACACGGTTGATGTTGTGGAGCAGGTCAGGGTCATCGAGGTGCATCGCAGGAAGAGAGACAGTATACTTAGAACCGAGGTGCATCATCAAGAGTACCCTCAGTTTTCCGAAATAGAAGAAATCAAGACCGATGGTCTGGTTCTCTCTCTGCAGAGCGACGCGCCGGAACGCGCCCTTTCGAAGAACAACACGCTTCACAATTGGCATCAAACGGAAAATGCCCTCGGCTCCGATGATTATACAACGAAACAGAAGAAAGAGGAACCCTCAGGTCCTCCTCGTCCTCAGGTCCAACCGGGTCGTCAGGTGGTGTTGGACCCTTTTCTTTTCGAGCTTTCTTGGAAGAGCCAGGGGCAGATCCTAATGGTTCAGGGTCCTCATCAAAGATTCCTTCAGGATCTAAAGGATTACGACTAGAAGCTTCAGGTTTTGAGGAAGTTGCGGGAGCAGGTCTTGAGGAAGGTTCGGGGTCTAAGTCAAACGGATCAGAACGTGTACCGGTCCCCGGCGACGGTAAACCTCTAAAGCGCACGGCTCGAAGCACGTGCTCAACTTGTTCCGTCTTCTTTGCCGGGGCCGGTTCATCATCTCCGGCACAAAGCATGCCAAACATGCCGCAACATGCGCACTTTAAGTTTTCACAGACATGCTCACAAACGCGCTGCCCAAAACCTTTCACCTCACGACTCAAAAGAAGTTTCCTACTCACTTCGACGCGGGCCCAACGGTCCCGCAGCTTAATCCTAAAGTAGCTTCCGCGTTTTCTAGAAAACACCCTATAGAACTTTCGTGGCCTCTTTCGCGAAACCACTTTCCTGAAACACCGAAGTAACCCTGAAGAAACCCACAAAGCTATACCACAGAAGAGGCTGTAGACCGTCAGGAGAAGCACGATGATACCAAGATCCAGTCCTGGCGTGAAACCATTCCTGAAAGCGGCCGTGGTTTTAAAGGTGCGGGTTCTTCCGGTAGGAGGGTTCGAGGTACGTTGGGTTGGTTTTCGAGCAAACGCAACATGCCACAAACCATGCCAACGCTCATGCCACACAACATGCTGCTGCAAAACGTGATGCTGCAAAGTGTGCTGCTGCAAAGCGTGCTGTTGCAAAGCGTGCTCGCAAGAAAAAACTTTTGAACTCCAACCCCTCGGTGCGGATCGCCGCAGAGTCACTCCAAGAGCCGTTGGCCCTCTTCTAGGATCTGCCTCGCCTGCGCAGTCACTTGACTGTGGCTGAAAGATGGCGGGCTGAGCACAAATGCCCGTTCCTGGGCAGTCTGTCCTGTGGCAGAAGCACTCAGAGCTCTCGGAGGCGTTGGTAGACGAGATCGTGGTGGAACAGACGGAGGGATGTTCACACCGTGCCTTTGATAGTCCTCTCTTTGCATCCCCTCCGGAAGCATGGGTGCCGAAACCCTCGGGAGGTTGAATGCAGTAGCAACCAGTTCTCCTGGTGGCACCGAGGACGGAGCCGGGCTCGGCGGTGCCGGCTGTCCCGCCTCTGCGGGCTGATTTCCCTCGTCGGCCCCAACAAAGCCATCCAATTGGGACAGCCTCTGGCCTGTAAGTTCTTCCAACGTTCGCCATATCGCGATGTCTGATAAATCTTCTTGGCCCTGGGCCCTGTTCAGCGCCGTAACTTCTCCTTATCCAAGGAGCAAAGATTCCTCGTCGGAGCTCGAAGAGGAGGTGTCCACAACACCACCCTCCATCGTTGAGCCCTGAGGGATCGCTGCCGATTTGGCCCTTGCCGCTCGCATGGATTCCCGGGCCTCGTGGAGGCGCTCCTCCTCCCGTTTTCGCCTGTAATACCGGGCAACACGGAGGTATATGCCCGAGTCTAGGTATGCCCAAGCCGTTTTGAGCTCGAGCGAGGTGACCGACTGGGGCACCTTTACGAGCAGACTCGAACGCGCTCCCACCAGTCCCCTGTATCCAGCAGGCGTAGCCAGATAGGTTTGCAATACAGCTCGACAATGGAAGAGATAGTGTAACATAGATACAGGGTTGGGTTCCTGGAACCTTCGTTTCCACGCCGCCCGAGCGGCCCGTGGAGCCTCCAGAAGTTCGGTAACCCTGACTGCGAACACCACGTCCTCCATATGCAGCCCGTACTCTGCTAGGCTCTTGCCCTCTAGGCGACGTCCCAACCAAACCTCCCATTCCTGCTGCCCAATGATACATTGGGCTTCCGATTCCACCATCTTCGGCCTCGAAACCCTCAATGGTTCCTCTGGATAGGCCGCTGTCACCGGAATCACTGGAGTGGCTGGTAGCCAAGCAGCTGGATGCTCTAGGTCGGGCAGGCCTATCGGACCGAGCATCGTCGCTGTCGGAGAGCAAAGTGCTCTCAAGGCGTGGCCTGGAGCACAGAACGCCAGGGATGGGGCATCGTAGGCATCGTTCATGTTCGCTGGAATCCCCGCCAAGTGCGAGAGCAACGGAATAGGCTCGGTAGAGTCGACCGAGACCTTTGCAAGGCCTAGTGTTTCCGCATGCTCCCATCTGCGGCCAGCCTCCAGCCTCAACGCTCTCAGGAGGAGTTGGGTTCCCACATCCATCTGAAGCGCACCAAACGGAGGGCTCAGCGAACCCGGCGAGATGTTCGCCGGGATTCCAACCCGAGGTGGCGTAGGCCCCTCGACCTCTGAAGGAACCCCAGCGCGCAGGCGCTTCGAGGGATTCGGCCATTGGTGGCCCCAACTCTCCTCCCCTTCGCTCTCTGAGAACAAAGGGCTCTCTGCAATATCCGCCTTCGGCGGACTCCTCGCAGTATTCTCCTCCACAGGGCTTCCAGCCACATCTGCCTGCGAAGGGCCATCTGCAGAATCCGCCAGCAACGGGCTCTCCGCTGCTTCCGTCACCACTGGCGACGGGTAGACAGCCACCGGCGACGATGGTCCCCCACCCGGCGGCTCGACCCCCGGTAGTTCGAAAGAGGGGCTCTCCAAAGCCGGTGGAGTAGGCGGTTTCCCAGGAGAGCCTGGACTGCTCAAAGCAACACTCGGGGTAAACTCGTCCCCGCTGGCACCGTCCATTATGATCTCCAAAGGGAGACCTCTCTTCACCAAAGAGAAAAACGGCTGCAGATGGAACGTGCGCAGTGCTAGCGCAAACATTCGGCAACATCAGCGTTTGCAAAATCAAGCCAAACATGCCAACATGCCACTGTTTCCTAGGTTCACGCAGCTGTTTCCTAGGCTCACGCAGTTGCTTCCTAGGCTCACGCCGCTGCTTCCTAAGCTCCGGCAACTGCTTTCGCAACCCTTTTTCTACCCTCTTGTGGCTGAAGGGTCGGTCTTCTCTACTTTCCATCAAGCAAGACCCAACCGCCATCGGCATCGCTCTCAGCATAGCTCGAATCTGGAACTTCGTCGTGGGCACGTAGCCATTGCAACCCAGACCAGTGTTGAATGCAGGCCCAACAATAATGATGGGTGTGTGCAGGTTTGCGTCTGATGCAAACCTGCTTTCCGCACACCTCGCACCGGTGCTCGCATTCTTGCTTTGATCCGCCCAGATAGTTTCCCATAGCAGGAAAAAGAGGCGTATGCCGAGTCGTTCTGCAAAAACCGTAAGGGTAAAAGCCCGCTTGAGCAATCGCAAAATCATGGAAAAACATGCCCGAAACATGCAAAGCACCATGCCAACATGCGACTGTTTCCTAAAATCAAGAGCCATGCCAACATGCGACTGTTTCCTAAAATCAAGCGACATGCCAACATGCGACTGTTTCCTAAAATCAAGCGCCGTGCACTGCCTAAAGTCACTAGATTCTTCTAGAAAATCACAAAGCTCAATCTCCCGTGGTGCAGGCGCTCTTGGAGCAACTTCCACCCTAAGACCCCGAAGCAGAAACCCAAAAGGAGTGGCAGCCAAAGCGTGGCGGCCAGACTCGTCTTCTTCCGAAGTCTTTCTTCCTTTCTTCAGGATTCCTTCTCCAGGCTTCTGGGGTCCTGCGGTGGACTCCTTGCTCGATCCTAGCAGGTCGCGGTCCTTCAAGGCATCTATCTCCATATCCTCGATCCCTTTCGGGGGGCGTCTGGAAGAATTCTCTTTCCCCCGGCCTTTGGACCTCCCGCTCAGAGCCCACCAGGCGCGCGAAGCGCCCATCAGCTTGATGCTCTTCTTTCCGTTTCCTTTGTACAATCGTGATCCCGATTTGGCTAGATAGGTTTTCCAGCCCCGTTCCGACCCGGTCCAAGGCGAAACAACGTTGAACCCAACATCCGCCACCAAGACCTCTTCCAACCTCAGGAAAACATCCCCAAAATGAACCTCAAGGTCGACAACCCCCGAAACGACGATCGCACCACCCGAGGCGTTGAACAGATTGGCCGTTCGGTCGTACTTCTTGACAACACGAAATCCTGAGAGATGCTTGTCTGAAACAATGTGGCAGGTGGCTCCACTATCGACTAGCCACAGGTCCCCAGGAGTAGTCTCGAGGGCCTTGCAGACATGAGCTACGTCGCCGTGCTTCAACACACGGGATCCTAAGGAGCCCATAGACTCAGAACCTCGACTCTCAGACCTAGGCGACCCTTCGGGTCCTGAACCCGGCTTCGGAACTACAAGGGCGGACGGCTCAGGTCTCTCAGGCTGGCTCAGAACACGGCGTTCCGAAGAAGAGGGCTCCGAAGAACCACGCCCAGGACAGGAAAACCTCATCGCCATCACTGTGGCGCTTCCTCCCGACTCGGCCTCGGACTCCGGCTCTGTCAAGGAGCGTCCCTTTCCAGGCTGTCCCTTCTTCTTTTTCTTCTGCTTCTTGCCTTTGTCCTTTCCTTTGTCGCCTTTTCCTCTGTCGCCCTTGCCCTTCTCGGAACCACGGGGCGTGCCAGATCCCTTGGGAGTCTGGTCGCCTTTGCCTTTCGGCTTTCCTTTGTCTCCTTTCCCTTTGCCCTTCGGAGCACCACCGCGTTCGCGTTCTTCCTTTTGGCGCTGCCAACACTTGTCGGCTGTGTGTCCCTTCTTCCCGCAGTAGTCGCAAAGCTTCTCCTGCAAGGCTCGGCCCGAAGACCCAGGGGCCTCACACAGTCGCAGCTGCTCCTCGTAGTAAGTCAGCGTCCTTCGAAGAGCTTCCCAGTTCGAGCTGGACCCGTGCAGTACCACGTACTGACGCACTTCTGCACCCAAGCTCTGTAAAGGACAGAGCAGCGGTCAGCCTCAGACAGCTGAAGCTCCGGAAAGTTGCTCAGCTTCGCTTCAGACTTCGAAAACGAATCCTCAAGATGTCGAATCAAGTCGGTGGGCCTCTTCAGATGCCCAACGTGCTGGTACAACTTCAAAGCCTGTTCTCTCACGAAGACAGCTTCCATCCGCGACACGATGGAGTACTGAGAGGTAATCGTTCTAATCACCTCGTAGCCGCAGGCGCTCTGTCCCTGCCTCTTCGAGCAGGACCTCAAGAGCTCGCTTCCTTGCTCCCACTTGGCGAGGGATTGCGTCAAGTAGTAGAACAGCTTGGAGCTACGCGCGGCAGTCTCGGGATTCAAGTCAGCTTGCACAATCTCCTTTTTCACAGGGATACAAAGCTGCAGTTCCCGAACAAACGCTTCTTCCTGCAGGGCAAGCCAGGAACTCAGCGTCTCCATAAAGGAGTGCCAAGTCTCTACCTCCTTCATGCGCCCTTTCCCCATGCCTTGATGGTCTATCACCGGAAGGTTCGGCAGATACTTCTCTGCACGGCCTCCAGCACCAGAGTACCCAGAGGGAGACGGAACTGCCGGAGAAACTGCCGAACTCGCGGCAGAACTGCTCGCGGGAGCAGTGCTCGGCTGGAAGGGGTCCCGAGTCTTAGCTGCCTCTGCTGCCTGCTTGGCCGCTTCAGCTGCCTCGTGAACTTTCTCTTCCGCTTTGTTCCTTCTCTCTTCCTCCAGATCCATTCTCCGGAGCATCGTCGCAACGAGCTGCTGGTTCATTGCCATCATCTCTCTCTGCTGACGAAGCAATTCCATCATGAATCCAGGCATCTGCTCAGGCGTAAAACTTGCAGAACCAGAGCTGCTACTCGGAGCAGCAGCCTTCGGACTCTGAACAGGTGGAGCCGACGGCTTTGGACTTTGCACAGGAGGCACAGTAGCACCAGATGGCGAACCCGCCGCTGGTACAGAAGGCTGTGCTGCTTGCGGAGGAGCAGGAGCCGGACCTTGCACAGGAGCAAACGGATTCGCTTCCTGCTGAGCAGCCGCTTCAGGCGCTGCCACAGCTGGTCCTGGACCAAAAAGTTCGAACTCTTCTTCTGCAGTGGTCTCTGGCACAGGGACGTCTGCCATGGCTTTACTAGGAACGCACTCAGCGCTCCGCTACCATGTGAAAAACGCAGAGCAAGTCTCTTTTCACTCCACGCTTGAGCCAAACACCGAAGTGTTCAGCAAGGTCTCTTGCGGAGTCTCGCGCAGCAAATTCCGTCTCAACTTTACTAAACAAAGGAGGAATGACTTCTCAGGACTTCTGTCTCACTCAAACAGCAGTGCACAGCCACTCTGTCCCTTGGCCTGTTCCCACCGGCATGAGCGAGCGAGGGTCGGCGGAAAACAGCAACAGTGTAATCAGAAAAAGCATCTCTAGTGCTTGTAAGCGCTCATCCCGGTCTTCAAGACAAGTGCAAACATGCTAAAACATGTGTTCGCCATGCAAATGCCTGTTCAAGCTTCCAAAACAACAGTTCAAGGCAAAAAGGATGAAACCCTTTCTCATGCGCAAAACAAGCATGTCGGTACTCAAGGGCACACCTAAAAGGAGCAAACTTTTCACATGTTTTGCCACCCCCTCTCATGGGCACCTTAGGCGGGGCAGTAACAACATACTCATAATGGCTGCCATTGAAAACCAATACTACTACTACCCTGCATTCCTTGCGATCCTTGAATGACGCGGCAGACCGTGCTGCCAAGGCATGCGTAGCTAGGCGACTTAAAGGGTCACTCAGGGAAAAATGGGTGGCCGAGGCTGCTCGTGTACAAGCGTGGGAGGAGGCCGCTGTCAGAGCCTCTGCAAAGGCTGCTGAAAGACTCCACTGCTTCCTTGAAAGTCTTCCCCGTGTTGGGACTGACGTTGCTTGTGACGCCAGCTCTCCCCCGGGAGCTGGTGCTTAGTGCTAGGGTTTTGGCCCGGTTTCCCAACCCTCTTGTGTGCCGGCACTGCCGTGCCCTGGCCTGCTGTGGGGCTGCGGTGAGCACTGCTGTGGTGCTTGAAAGCTGGAAACCTCTACGTGACGACTCGCAACGGCTGTGGTGGACTGCTGCGCTGCTTTCTAGCTGCTGTGGCCTGGTCGACTGGTTGGAGCCGCTGCGAGGACTCTTGAGCTCGGACGTCGTCGTGAAACCTGACAGTTTGCTTCGTGTACACTGTAAACAAGTTTGGGGTCAACACCCTTGCTCTCTCTGGGGAGGGTGTTCCAGTTCCCTGTCCTGTGTCGTCTACAGGCCTCGTTTCGAGACATAGGTCAGAATTCGGCACTTCGAAGGCCTATCGATTCTGCAACGTGCGTGCCGGAGCTCCAGCAATCTCGGGGGCTCAAAAGTGCTTGCAAAGAGCCTCCAAGTGGCTTTAGGGGGCCCCCTAGCCAGCAACTTCGCAGGCCTGCGATTCGACAAACAGCACTCGCAGGCTTCTGAGGCTTCTGAGTGGCTTCCTAGCTACTCGCAGACCCACAAAACGTCTTCTTAGTAGCTCGCAGGCCCGAAAAGCGCCTTCCTTAGCTCGCAGGCCAACAAAGCGCCTTCTTAGTAGCTCGCAGGCCCGAAAAGCGCCTTCTTAGTAGCTCGCAGGCCCGAAAAGCGCCTTCCTAGCAGCTCGCAGGCCCGAAAAGCGCTTTCCTAGCTCGCAAGCCCGAAAAGCGCCTTCCTTGTAGCTCGCAGGCCAACAAAGCGCCTCCTAACAGCTCGCAGTAGCTCCGAGGCCTGCGCACGGCCGAATTGCAAGCACTTTGGAGCCCCCAAAATTGTACGTTCTAGTACGTCCAGACCCTCAGATCTGCAGGCCTGTGAAATGCCGAATTCTGACCAAGGTCTCGAAACGAGGCCTGTAGACGACACAGGACAGAGAACTGGAACACCCTCCCCAGAGAGAGCAAAAGCCCCGAAACCTCGATTGATATTCTTGCCGGAGAAATATCAGTCGCCATCAATCGCCTGTTTTTGGGGCCCGCAAGCACCGATTTCGACCCCGTCCACGTAAGCGGAAAGCGCGCGAAGCGAGCTCAATCCCGTTCCTCGGCTCCGGAAGCGCTGTTTACAGCCCGAAGAGCCGATTGATGGAATTGATGGAATTGATGGTTTTTTGCCGGGGTCGCCGGTCGGAATTTTTTTTGGCTGGGTAGGTATGTTACCGCCGTCTCCTCTACTCCTATTTTCGTGCGCACGCTGAGCCGGGACTCGGTGCCGATGACCGACCTTCGAGCGGTAGGCTCCGGGAAGCGGCCCGGCGGTCCAGCGGAGACGAGGGGGTTGCCCGACTGTTTCAGGGCTAACCACCGGCGGTTGTCAGGTTCGCCGGGACCCCTGAAGACTCTCCGCGCCGGTCCGCGAGGCACCGGGGAGCCCTCCAAGAAATGGGGGGGCTCCGAAGCCTCGCCGCCCCCGCCAGGCCTCTGTGCGTCTGCAGTCCCCCTCCGAGGGGGGCTGTCGGGGGGCTGTCGGGAACGGAATGCTGCCCGTTTTTTTGCAGCATCTGTGGCCCCCAGTCGGGGCGTGTGGGGAACGAAACTATGCCCTTTCTTTTGCAGCGCTCTGAACTCGTGTTCTCTATCAAAAACGGGCCTTGTTCAGACCTCCTCGAAGTCGAGGAAGCCTGAACAACCTCACAGGACGCTCAAAACTCCTCGGCGGCCATTCCGAGTGTCTCCCGGTTTGATTCCGGGGCTCCGTTCCATTCCGGGGCTCGCCCGGTTTGGCGTCTCCACAAAAAAACGCTCAATTTGATCAAAAAACCGACCGGTGTCACAACTCTTCAGATCTGGCGAATGCTGGCACCCCCGCAAAAAGCGCTCGTTTGATCGAAAAAATAGGCCGGTGCCACAACTCGTCAAATCTGACGAATGCTGACACCGCCGCAAAAAACGCTCAAGTTGAAGTCAAAAAACATAGACTGCGGATCTTGTGGCTTTGCACAATCACTCAAAGCACACTCAAAAGCTCCGAATTGGCCCGCCTTCTCAGGGTCAGACCCTGAACCGAAGCATACGTAATCGCGCTGCAAAGCCGGGTGTGCTTCAGCAGCTCCGGGCCCGCGAAGCACTGGCCGCTCTCCAGGCGAACCACATCCCCTTCCACCGCTTCCACGGTCAGAAAGGTGCCCTTCTGCACCTTGCCGCCGGCCCCGATCAATCGCAGCCCCGGCCACACCCTCATGCTCTGCGACGCATTCGTCGGCACGAGCACCAGCAAGGCGTCGGGCGGCGCGAGCCTGCGATTCTCCCGCTCGTTGATCTGCAAGATGACGAGGCTCACGTCGGGCTCCCCCCGCCTCGGGAAGCGCCGCCGGGCCTCCCGCACCGCTTCGGCCAGCGGGACCTGCTCAAATCAAGAACTCGAAGATTCGCTCGTCGAAGCGCCATCGCTCCGAGAGCTCGTGGCACCAGCCCCCCGCCAGATCGTGCAGCAGCTGGCTGTGCTTCAGCTCCTTGCACACCTCCGCGCCCGCGAAGCTATCTAAGACGGTGGGCAGCTGCCTAAAGTCTCCGAGCAGTACGAAACGAATCTTCTTGTTCCTGCTCAAGCAGGAAATGTCGGCCCACAGGGGGAGTATCTTTATTGCGTCAATTCTTCTATGACCACCCAGGTGGGGCAGTGGGCCACGGGGTCCTCCACTCGGCGCCACCTCGCCTTCGCTCGGATCGGCTCCGCTTCTATGCCGGCCACCTCCTCGTGGCGATAGATGGGCGTGCCGTCTCGGTGCGACATCTGCAGCAGCCGCTCCACGGCGGGTCTGTACTTCTCCTGCATCACCAGGCTTAGCGCCTGGCACGTCCGCCAAGGCCTGGCGAATCCGCGCCACTGTGACGTACTCGGCCCCCATGATGAAGTCATGAACCGGTGGTGACGGATGTGTTTACCACGGATAGGGCGGGGGGCTGGAGGAGGACCCGACGGACCGCAATGCAACGGCGGTGGTGGATCGAGCCATACAGGGGCGACCACGTGGACGAAGCTACGGAGGCGTACAACGCCCGCCCGCATGCAGCGGTCACGGTGGCTCCCGAGGATGTGGAGACGAAGCCGGCCGCGAGCTTCAGGGTCTACCAGGATAACGCTCGAAAGTTCAAGCACAACGATGAGTTGACAAGGAGCCGTCAGCGGCGGCTCGAGGAGGCGGGGGCGTTCCGGGCCCCCACCAATGCCCAGAAGAGCTTCCAGCCCCAGTACAGGGCGGTGCGGGAGGTTTCGAGCTACGATTCGATGACGGTGCGGGCCACCGATGGTTCGGAGACTCTGCTGAAGCATGCGCTCCCGGTGCCCCGATGGCCCCGCGGAGCCTAAAGCGCGGCTGACTCGACGGCTCGTGCCCTTAGCGGTGCGGCAGCTGCGGGATTTCAATCCCGGACCCACGGTACCGCCTCAGACTTGCCACGAGAAGGTACCAAAACAAAAACTAGGGCCCCCCGACCCCCCCCGGAAAAAACCATCAATTCCATCAATTTCATCAAGCGTCTCTTCTGGGTCGAAATCGTGTTCGAGAGCCCTGCAAACGGGCTCCAGGCCGAACTGCGCCCGCTTGGGTTGCCTCGATGTCGCTCCAAAAGTCGAAAAATGGGGCTCCTAGACATCAGAATCGGCCAATTGATGTCGATTGATATTTTGGCCCGCGAAATATCAATCACCTTTTTAGAGCCCGTAGCGCCCAAAACCCGATTGATGTTACGGAGGGGGAACAACAATCGGCCTCGCGAGGACCGAATCGAAGACTTCGGTTGCCAAAACTCGCCCCCCGGCGAGGAAGCGAACAACCGAAACACCCAGCAATCACCCTAGAGGCCAAAAGGAGCTACAGAAACCCATCAAAGGCCCGATTGATGAAATTGATGGAATTGATGGGTTTGATCCCGTCGCGGGCATCGCGGAGCAAGCAAGTCCTGGACCCGTGGCGCCGCCCTAGACTTGCCAGGTATGGGGACCGAAAATCCTGCCCCGGACCCTTCCGGAAAAAACCATCAATTTCATCAAGCGTCTCTTCTGGGTCGAAATCGTGTTCGAGAGCCCTGCAAACGGGCTCCAGGCCGAACTGCGCCCGCTTGGGTTGCCCGCGAAATATCAATCACCTTCTTGGAGCCTGTAACGCCCCAAAACCCGATTGATGTTACGGAGGGGGAAATATCAATCGGCCTCGCGAGGACCGAATCGGCGACTTCGGTCGCCAAAACTCGCCCCCCGGAGAGGAAGCGAATAACCGAAACACCCAGCAATCACCCTGGAGGCCAAAACGAGTCCCAAAACCCATCAAAAGCCCGATTGATGAAATTGATGGAATTGATGGGTTTGATCCCCGTCGCCGGCATCGCGGAGCAAGCACAGCCCTATCCAGCGAACCCTTGCGCGCTGCAGGGACGATGCAGGGCAGCCTAGTAGGGATTAGGGTGCTAGGGGTTCGGGTGCCTGGGTTCGGGAGTTAGGGACAACCGACAAAACAGGAGACAAGACACAGGGGGGGGGATTTGCAGGGCAGCAGCGGGGGCTAGGGTTCTAGCTAGGGAGGCTCGGGTGAAGGGTTCGGGTGCTTAGGGGGACAACCGGGGTGAGTCTACGCCGAGGCCACGAAGAGCTCGAGAGACCTGCACAGGTTGGCTTCGAAAGAGTGCGAAAAAAGGAGGGCTGAAGAGTCCCACCTCGTAGCTCGCGGAGCCGTCACCGCCCCCCTAGAGACGCGCCGGCCAGGATACACAGAGCCGCTTTTTTTCGGCGCGTGCACACACAGACACACTCACACTCATGCACTCACGGCACTCAGATTGCATCCACGGACCGACATGACACCTCGTTGGCTTTTTTTTTCACCCCTCTATGCTGTGCAACGTCGGCCGGTCGGCCCCGTCCCCGCGTCCCCTGTGCATCGGGATCTTCCAAGACTGGCCAGACCGGGCCCTAGGTTTCCGGTCGCCCTCCTTGGCCCGCTCGCGCCGTTTTCCACACATTTAAGGTTTCCAAACAGAGATTGTTTACAAATTTGAAATATTGCTTGTAAGGCAGACTTAAAGGGTTGTTTTTACTGCATGTATGTGTTGAACCGGCCCCCTAAGTCGCCTAGGCATCTAGATACGATGCTGCCTGACTCCAAGTAATCCAAACAATTGTGCAAGGAGGGTGGACCATCCGGGCTCATCCGTTGCTCAGGGCGGCGCGGTCGACTGCGTCGGCTCCTTGCCACCGCAGGGCACTCACAGGGCAGCCTAGTAAGGTTCAGGATTCTGGAGGATTCGGGCGCTGAGGGGCGGGACAAAGGGATAACCGGGACCTGCACGACACCAGAGCTTAATCTAAACGTGGTGTGGCCAGGAATTAGTGACGTCTTTGCTACAGTCATCTAGTTCACTACAGCAGTGACCTAGATCGCTACTGCTGCCGATCTAAGTGCGCCACTTGCAGCAAAACTGACCACACCGAAGCCTGGCATGATGCACATCGCAAACCTTGACATGTGAAACCGAGAGAGACCGTGCAAAAGGATGTGCAGAGCTAGATGGTGCCTGCACAGCACTGATTCTCCGATTTCCTTGACAAATCACATCGCCCGGCCTTTCAAGTTCGCTGCCACGGCAAAAAGCCGTAGCAGTCGAGCCTAGCAGTGCAGTGATGCCGTCATGTGGAAGTCAAATGGCTGATCACAGAGCCGAGGGTTGGGCCTGGTGGTGTCCCGACGCAGGACTTCCGATTCGTCTTTGATGCGTCGCCACGCTCCAGCCTGCCAGAATCGGAGGCTAGGGAAGGATCCAACAGAAAAGGCAGTCTGGGGCTCCGCGCTTCTTGCAAGTAGATGTCGATATGCCTTGGAGCGATGTCCTTGAGATCGGGGTTCATCTGCTTGATGGCCTCGTGGACTTGGGCAAATGTCGGGACGGGCAGCAAAGGAAGCATGCCGAGGGCGGGTCTGTTTTCAAATCGTCCACATTATTGAGTCTCGAGCCTGGGTGGTCCTGCTGACATGCGATGGTCAACTCCACTTGACATGGTGCAGCGAAGATGGCCTGAGGGGACACCTGGAACGCCGGCTCGAGCTCTTCCTCGCCCTCAGGGTCTTGACGAGACCTTATCTGCGCAGAGGCGCTGCTCCAAAACGACCGGCAATCGGAATCTTCCTTGGGCCTCAGCTTGGCGGTGACCGTCCCATCCTGCGCGGCGAGCGGTGTCGAAACTCCCAGCCCCGAACCGCCTCCCGAACCGCCGCCCGAACCATCCCGCCGTGACCCATCAATTCCATCAATTCCGTCAAGTGGCGGATTCCCCCCGAGTTTTCCACTACAGTGCAAACTGCCTCGACACAAAGGGGAAGGCCCCCATCAATTCCATCAATTCCGTCAATCGGTTCATTGGGGTCTAAAAACGTGCTTCCAGAGCACAAAAACCGGGCTCGAAGCTGCTTTTGTGTGGGCTCCGTTTGCGTTGAAGGCGTCAACGAGGTCGAGAAGACGACTTTCGATCCTGAAGAATCGATTGACGGAATTGATGGAATTGATGGTTCTTTCCGGGCCCCCGGGGGCTTGGAGCAGAGGCCAAAAACAACTCCGGACCCGGGACCAATCGGTTATTGGGGTCCAAAAACGTGCTTCCAGAGCACAAAAAAGGGCTCGAAGCTGCTTTTGTGTGGGCTCCGTTTGCGCTGAAGGCGTCAACGAGGTCGAGAAGACGACTTTCGATCCCGAAGAACCGATTGACGGAATTGATTGATGGTTTTGATCCCTGACGCGGGGTAGCATCGGCATCCAGAGCATCGGCAGCCAGAGCATCGGAGGCGGGAGGACCTCCATCAAAACCATCAAATCATAACGATTCGGGCTGTTTTCTCAGTCGAAAAGGACGGATTTGATGCTGTTGATGCTGGGTTGATCCCTGTCGCGGGGTAGCATCGGCATCCAGAGCATCGGAGGCGGGAGGAACGCCCATGAAATCCATCGATTCGGGCTGTGCTTTGAGTCGAAAATACCTTGATGCTTTTGATGCTTTTGATCCCTGTCCCGGGGCAGCATCGGCATCCAGAGCATCGGCATCCAGAGCATCGGCGGCGAGCGGTGTCGAAACTCCCAGCCCCGAACCACCTCCCGAAGCCCCTCCCCGACTTGTCATGCTCCGCCCCTGCCGACGCTCAGAAGCACTCCAGCAATCCCGACATCCCACGCCAGGGCCCACCAAGCCCGGCCAAGAACGCCAACACTGCATGCGCACACAACGCCGTCCTTCCGGGCCAACTCCCGCACCCAGACGACGGGCTCAGAGGTCGCGCCTCACAGAACGCCAAAGGCTGGTATCTCGAATCCTCCAGCCTCCACCTGGAGCAACGGTCTCAAACCTTGCAACTCTTGTGCCTGCAGGTCCGGCAGATGGGCCTCACAGGGTGCTATAACGGACGCAAGGCAGCCGAGAATTGCAGATCAAACAAGAGAAAAGGACTCCGAAGAAGCACACATCATGACATGTGCACGAAGGCCGGAGAACCTGCTTCTGCAAAACGGAAGCGGAGAACGATGACAGACAAAACAAGACAAGACTACAAGACTTCTCACCCAGTCCATGTTGCGGAGCTTCATTTGGCAACCATGTGAGCCATGCGAAACTTGAACTGTGAGCCTTGTCCTGCTTGTGGTGCTTGCGGTCTTCGACCCGTGCGCAAGTACTCATCTACGTCCACAGGTCGCCATCTGCCGATTTGATCCGGAACCGCTGTAATGTTCAGAACCGCGTCGATGGTCTGCTCGTTGGAACGCAATGGGTTGTTCTGCAAGTACTTCCTAGCCTCCATGCGTCCCCATCTGTAGCTGCGTGAATCGTTTTGTGCCCAAGCTCGGGAGCGTGCTCCATTCAGATTGACTACCTCCTGGACAGCTTTCTCAGATTGGGTGACGACGAGCAGGTGGTGACCACAGTCAAACGCAGACCTGGTGAGACCCAGCAGCAAGGCTTCTTGTCCCTGCAACCCCTGATCAAAGGTGTTGTCAAAGATGATCTGCAAACGGATGCCACCAGCTTGAAGCAAATCAAACAGCACCGAAGCAACTTGCACGGCATCTGCAGCATCTGCTGCCCGGAAAAAGTCTCTGAGGCTCTTCTGGAAAGCTCCCTGTAGAAGCACTCCGACTGAGGAGTTCGGCATCCCATTCCTGAGCGCCAGTGCCGTGGCAGTGGACTTGCCAACGCCTGGTTCTGCGTGCACTGCAGAGACACCAGTTGTTCGGTTGTCAGCTAAGACTGTCATCATCAACTGCTCGAAGCTCGTGTTTTCAATTGGCTGTTCAGGTACTCTTTGCGATCTCGGAATAATGCTGTTGCCAAGCTTCTGCGCACTCACCAGACTTACAAGCAGTTTCTGAGCATGTTTTTGCACATCCCCGCTCAGCGGCAACAGCGGAATTTTTGCAATCTCTTTTTCGTAGTATTTCATCTGCTTGTTGATGAAATCAACAAGGGCTGTTGCAGCTGACGCAGTACTTAACACTGCAGCTGGGTCAACGGCGACCCCAACGGTTCGTGGGTGCGCGCCGCCTCTTTTGGCGTGCCAAAAGCCAACAAATCCGCAAAGATCGAGGCTCACATGGGTGAACATGGCAAGGACCACCATCCTCTGACATCTGCGCGCCATGATAATCGAGGCACGCCTTGTCTTATTGCTTCTCAAGTAAGTATTTCACCTTGAACAAACATTGGACATGTTCTCTTCTGTATATGTCCCACTGGTCTGACGTCTGTGTTCGTCTTTATGAATTCATGGCCTCCGTTCTGCTGCTGCGGCTCTTAATTGTGAAGCAACCGCTCTTCCACGAGCCGAGCCTTCGCAAGCACAATTCAGTTTCAAGCCGCCCGTCAGCCCGGCACATGTGGTTTTTCAAGCACCTAAAAGCATGGATTCGCAAAAGCTAATTTCAAACTCCGGCGCTGCTGAGGCACACACGCATGCAACTTACACATCGTCCGTCTTTTGTGGCAGCGTGAACCCGTAGCAATCTGCCCTGCGAGCGGGGCGACAGCAAAATTTCCAAGCTGAAAAAGGCATCGACACCAGGTGCTGGGTTATGCCGCGATTGACTTCATTGTCTCCGTCTTCCTTCAACCAGACCCCATCCTGCAAGCCGTCAAGCGGGTTTGACGTGAAATGCTCTCCTGCTGGAGATATCCAGCTGGAACGCATCGCACGTCACAGTCTTTTCGTTCTTGGTAGCCTCACGCAAAGCTCAGCAACGGCTCAGTGGAAAATGAAAGCTCAACTCCGCTTCAGCTTTGATTCCCTGATTTCATGGCGAGCGGGTTTGACATGACTCCGTCTGGCTGCAAATGTCGATCTTGGACGCTTGAAATGGAGACAAGGAAGGGTCGATTGCCTGCAGAAAAAAAGGCCAACAACCTAGGGATTGATTTCATGGGCCGCAGGAGGTGCAAACATGGACACTCAAAACTTCTATCTTTGTCATCGCTTTTCTGCAAACAACTAACCCACGCGCAAGTTCCACGCACCGGGCCTTTTCGGGGCTGGCTGTGCCGCTTTTGGCCGGTGGGTCCGGAACATGCGCTCAACATAACCGGGGGTTGTGTTGAAAATCGGGGCCGCGGCAGGCCCGTGATGCCCGGCGATAGGTGCGATTCGGCCGAAACCGTGCTCAAAACCCAGGCGGGGGGCAGCCCGAAATCGGAGATGGACCGTGGCGTGGTCGGCTCGCAAAACGGCCGGCCGCCGGGGGCCGTCGGGGCGCAGTCCCGGCGGGCGGGCCCAAAATCCAAAAAAACTGGGGTGCGGCATGGTGTTTTAGGGCCATGGGCGCCTGGGGTGCGAAATGCCGGCAATGTCCCTTCAACACAGGTGGGGGTTGTGTTGAGCCCTGTGTTGAAAACCGACAAGACAAAGCATCAGCTTCAACAAAGGCGGGACCGATGTTGTGCCCGATGTTGACAATTAAGCATCAACGACAGCACCTTCAATGTCGGCGGGACCAACATTGAGCCCGACATTGAAACATATGGTGTGATAGGAGAAAAAAAGATCGGCGTGCCGGAACGCCGTGGAGGAACCCACCGAAGGCAATCTCGTGCGGCTGCTGGACCTGTGGTCGGCGGGCTGGAAGCACCGGGGGCGCACCCGGGCGGTGGGGCCGGGGGCGTACGAAAGGTACGCAACGCTGGGGCTGTTCGGGCACGGCGGCGTGGTCGGGGTGTCCAATGCCACCGGCCTGCGGGAGGCTTGCGCAGCCGTCAACGGCTTTCTCCGGAGCCGTAGCTGTACTCTTCAACCCGCGCATGGGCTTGCACCGTGACATTCAGAACATGCCCGGGCACCTGAATCATGCGCTGGCTCTGGGTGATTACACAGGAGGGCGGGTGTGGATCGAAGACGATGAGGGGGACTCGACGGCCCGGCTGGCCGACAAGAAAGGGGACCGGGAACTGCGGGGCAGGTGGCTGGACATGCACGACAAGCCAGTGAGCTTCGATGCTCGTCGATATCACAAGGTCGAGCCCCACGAGGGCAGCATGTGGGCTCTGGCTGCCTACGTGCCACAAGCCTATGCTCGGGCGACAGAACAGCACCGGGAGTCGCTCCGAGAAGCGGGCTTTCCGTTACCGAAGTTAACGATTCCGTCGTTAACTTCTTGAAAACTGGGGGAAGTGTGTGATATCGTGAGGTCCGGGAAGTGTACGTTTTCGCCGTACACTTGAAAATGGAAGTTTCGCACGGAATGCGAAACTAAGGTTAGGGATGGAGTGCCTAACCTCTTCTGAAAGTGAGAATCCTGCTTGAGGATATCTGGAAGTTGACGTTTTCGCCGTCCACTTCGGAATTCCCTGGAGGCATGTCGGAAAAACAGGGACATGGCCATGGAGAATTCCAGACATGGATTCCCCTGCACCCGGCGACAAAAAATCCACATCAATTCCATCAATTCCATCAATCGGCTGCTCGGGCTGTAAACAGCGCCTCCAGAGCCCAGGAACGGGCTCGAGCTCACTTCGCGCGCTTTCCGCTTACGTGGACGGGGTCGAAATCGGTGCTTGCGGGCCCCAAAAACAAGCGATTGATGGCGATTGATATTTCTCCGGCAAAAAAATCAATCGAGGTTTCGGGGCTTTTGCTCTCTCTGGGGAGGGTGTTCCAGTTCCCTGTCCTGTGTCGTCTACAGGCCTCGTTTCGAGACATAGGTCAGAATTCGGCACTTCGAAGGCCTATCGATTCTGCAACGTGCGTGCCGGAGCTCCAGCAATCTCGGGGGCTCAAAAGTGCTTGCAAAGAGCCTCCAAGTGGCTTTAGGGGGCCCCCTAGCCAGCAACTTCGCAGGCCTGCGATTCGACAAACAGCACTCGCAGGCTTCTGAGGCTTCTGAGTGGCTTCCTAGCTACTCGCAGACCCACAAAACGTCTTCTTAGTAGCTCGCAGGCCCGAAAAGCGCCTTCCTTAGCTCGCAGGCCAACAAAGCGCCTTCTTAGTAGCTCGCAGGCCCGAAAAGCGCCTTCTTAGTAGCTCGCAGGCCCGAAAAGCGCCTTCCTAGCAGCTCGCAGGCCCGAAAAGCGCTTTCCTAGCTCGCAAGCCCGAAAAGCGCCTTCCTTGTAGCTCGCAGGCCAACAAAGCGCCTCCTAACAGCTCGCAGTAGCTCCGAGGCCTGCGCACGGCCGAATTGCAAGCACTTTGGAGCCCCCAAAATATCCCAAAATTGTACGTTCTAGTACGTCCAGACCCTCAGATCTGCAGGCCTGTGAAATGCCGAATTCTGACCAAGGTCTCGAAACGAGGCCTGTAGACGACACAGGACAGAGAACTGGAACACCCTCCCCAGAGAGAGACCCTTGCCTTCTTTCAGACTCTGTACATCTGATGTAAGGCAACTTAGTCTCGAAGCTGCACTCTTTTCCTGTAAAGTGACTAGTCCGACAAGGATGGGGCTTCGTCTTATCCGAAAGTGGCTCTGCTGTACACCCCGAGCCCTTCAGTCGTAGATTTCTGCAGCTTGTCACTTTTCTGCTGTGCCTGTACATTTTTGCACATTGGAAAGTTCTTCACCCAGTGCTAGACCTTGCGACGGACTTCGGCTACCGCGGGGCTTGCATCACGAGTGTCAACTTGAGCTTTTGGTGTGCAGTTCAATCGCTCTTGTTCTGCTTTGCGACTTCTGACACGTCGCTCGTGCTTGCACGGGCGGCTCGAGAACCCCAAGCAAAAGAGGCACTTGTGAAGAAGGCAATGACGACCAAGTATCCCTCCATACTAGCTCTCTCTTGTATCTGTGTTTCAAAACTGGCCTCTGTTGTGGCGTAGTCTCTGGCTGTTTGGTTGTGGGGGCAAGTCCTTCCTTCCCGATTTGGCCGGAACTCGTTCTAAAACCCGGGTCTGAGGGCTTAGAGCTGGCGTTTAGAAGGCCCAAAAGTGCGCGAAAAGTGCATGCAAAATCTTTTGGGCCATGGTGTGGCCTGGCGGGGTCGGAGTTTGGAGGTTCGACTTCCGCTGGATGAGGTCAAGTGCGTCTGAACTGCCGCAAACTGCAGGAGACTGCGGTAGAAACGGAGTTTCTAAGTCCAGAGACTCAAATATTTACCGTACCAGGAGGGATTCCACAAACACTTCGAAAAAACCGCCGAACCCCTCCGCCAAACTCCACAAAGACAAAATGACTCCACAAAGACTCGAAAGATTCCAGAAAGATTCCAAAAGACTAGCCGAAATTTCGCCGATGCTTACAGACTCAACACACCTATGAGACTGCTGTTCCGACGATGAGCGCTGCAGACTCGAGCGACCATTGCAGGATTCCAACGGTCCAGTAAAAGGTGATGCAAGCCAGCAGCAAGTTGTACGCAAACCTCTGCACGTCGAGAGCTTGAGAGCTCTAAATAACAAGATGATGTCACGCGAACTTCAAACCATGATTTGTGCAATTCGAAAGCGCTGGAGAGCAAATCTACCGGCCTACGCAGCAACTGGGCACTTGCACAAACCGCTGGCTTTGCGTACCAACTCAAGCGGCGCCTGAGCCACGAAGAGAGATCCAACGACGGCTCGTGTCAGGGACCTGTCAAGTGAGAGCTGCGAGGCCAAGTTTTTGCACCTATCTCTCAGCACTATGTCTCCGAACGAGCAGCAGGAGTCTGCACGAGCGCTCAGCCCTTTTTAGCGCAAGAGGCGAAAACACTCCAGCTGTGCAATGATCTCGCTGCAGTTCATGAGACTGTATCTGTGCTGGTCCTGACGATCTTTCCAAGGTCTGCTTTGAAACTCCTGATAGCCCGCTTTGGCCTCGCTGCAGATTTGGAGCAGCACATTGGGCATGTCCTCAACGGTTTCACCCCTCTGCGGCTTCCTGGCTTTGGCTTGGCTTGTTTTGTCCAATTCGTTGGCTCCCTTGATGCTGCCGTAGCGGCACTGCGCAGCCATGTACTCGGTCCCTGTGTCTCTTCGGCGCACTGGGATCAGCAAGTCGTGGTGAGCTGAGGCACAGGCAGAGTTGCACTTGATGGCTCGCCCAACCTTGTCTAAAACCGTGGCTTCTTTCGTCGGAAGATCAACACCGTCGCACCAGCATACCTCAAAAGGCTGCAAAACCCTACGCAAATGCTCATCCTGCGTGGGGTAGAGCTCCAAGAACGGAACCCAGGTATCGTTGGCATTCGATTTTCTTTCCATGCAATGCAGGCGAAACCTTGCAGCCAGTGCATTTGCCACACATTTTTCCCATGGCACACCTCTTGCGGTTGGCCCTCCGCTCTTCTGCAGCAACTTCATGGCATCTGGCAAAAGATCTTCCAAGGAGATGTTGACATCTTCCAGATTTTGTTGGAGCGTCTCAGAGACCGCCACGTCCCGACACCACCACAGCCTCGGGACCAGCACGGTGTCACCAGATGGAAACGCAGCTCCTGCATGGAAGATCTCTGACCAGGGGATATCCGTGCCAGGTACTTTGGCCCGCTCACACACTTTCCAGCGAACCGCCGAGCAAAGAACCAGCGACAGAGCAACACCTGAATTGTCAAAGAAGGGTGCGGCAGATGCGTAGGAGTCGCTGAAGCACATGGTCATTGCATTCATGGCAACTACTTCTGTTGACAGCTCGCCAGGTGCCTGGAAAGCAAACTCCAGAAGACGAGGCACTCCACCAGAGAAAAGATGCACCTGCTTCAACACATCGTTCCCGTACTGCTTCCCGCTCCTCTGGACCATCATCGTGGCAGCCGCTTCTCCAGACAAGGGTGCAAGCGCGGGCATCCGATGAACCATTAGCTGGGTGTACTCGGTGTGCGGAACTCCTTCCATCAAGTTCAAAGTGCCAGCACAAAAGACTCCCATTCTCTGGGGTAGGTGGCTGCATAGATTGGTGAAGGCAGACTTTATGCCACCCTTGCTACTCCGTATCGCCTGCTGTTCTTTTGCTAGCAGCTCCGCTTGATCCATGAAGATCAGCAAAGGACAGGTGTCTGAAGCCCCCAATGCTGTTCCAGTCAGGGACCTCCACTGTTCGAGCACTTGCCCTACGGTTCGACCAGACTGATAAAACCACGATCTGAGATTGGTGTTGAATCGGTCATCGTTGGCCTTGCCCTTCACAAGCTCCATCACATCTGCAAAACTCGTGGCCTGAAATGTCACATCGTTCACAGTGTGCTCGTGAAAGATTTGAAGAAGATGCCAGATGATGATGGGGCAGTAGCCTCTCAGGATCCTGATCTACGTAGTCTCTTACGACTTGAGCATCCAAGACAAGCAGGCGTCCGCACTTGCGGCTTTCGGCGTATTCCTCCCTCTGGGCAAGGTGTCGAAGGAGCGATGTCTTCCCGGTGCCTCTTGGGCTCCAAAGAGCAACGACTCTGGGTTTGTTGAAATCCGCATCCTGGGTCATCTTGATCTGGGCCAGAACTTCCTGCACAGTTTCATTCCTCTCAAGGATGGGCCTGTTCGCCTTGTTGTTGATGCGCGAGTTCAAGACGCGGTCATCCCAGTTGGAAATCTCGCTACCCGGGAGTTTTTTCACCTGGCGCTGCGTTGCCTGTAGAACCTGACAGCTCAGGAAAAACATGAAAGAAAGTCCTTGAAGACCGTGAGCTGAGGGCATCAAGAACAACAACAAACTTAGGGTTCGCACCCCTCCAACCAGATTTGCGTGAAACCTTTGCCGTAACACCTTTGCCTGAGCCACAAAGGTCCCTTCCACTCTAAAAACACACGAGGTGCAACCAGATTTGCGTGAAACCTGAAGCAGCCAAGAGCCCTCTTCTCCGAAAGCCCCTCCCACTCCCCGAAGTGCTGCAAGCCAACACAATGAAGACAGCTTAACGACGAGGCCAAAAAACAACACCGGTGGACCGCACGAAAACCCACGACGACCCAGAGCCCCCGACATGCAGGAGTGCTAGGCAACATGCCCACGCAGAAGCCCCCTGCACTCGTCTTGCCGGAACCCCACTGCCAAGGTCCGTGTGCCAAAAACATTAAGAACCCAAGTCCCTTGACTCCCCCTCACGGACTAACCTGAAAGTCGAGCCTCAAACAAAAACAACCGCAACCTGGAGAGCGCAAAGCAAGCACAAAACAGGCTGACCCCCGCACCTCGAGCCTCGGACTGATACCCCGTTCTGAAGCATCGGCACAACAAGAAGAGCATCCAGTTTGATTGAACCTACAGCAGCCAAAGAGCCCTCTGCTCCGAAAGCCCCCTCCCGCTCCCCGAAGTGCTGCAAGCCAACACAGTGCAGACACCTTAACGACGAGGGGCTAAGTGGAAAGCAGCACCCCAAAAAGCAACAACGGTGGACCGCACGAAAACGCACGACGACCAAGAGCCGCGGACATGCAGGAGTGCCAGGCAATATGCCCACGCAGAAGCCCCCCGGCCTGCACTCGTCTTGCCGGGACCCCAGTGCTCGGCAAGGTCCGCGTGCTAAAAGCACTAAGAACCCAGGTCCCTTGACTCCCCCTCACGGACACAGTAACCTGAAAGTCGAGCCTCAAACAAAAGCAACCGCAACCTGGAGAGCGCAAAGCGAGCGCTAAACAGGCTGACCCCTCCACCTCGAGCCTAGGACTGACACCCCGTTCTGAAGCATCGGCAAAACACGAGGAGCAACTAGTTTTGCATGAACCTGAAGCAGCCAAGAGCCCTCTGCTCAGAAAGCCCCTCCGCTCCCCCGGAACTGCTGGAAGCCAACACAATGGAGACAGCTTAACCACAAGGGGATCCTTGCTGAGGAAAGCAGCACCCCAAAAAGCAACAACGGTGGACCGCACGAAAACGCACGATGACCAAGAGCCCCGGGCAGGCAGGAGTGCTACAAGCAACGGCAACATGCCCACGCAGAAGCCCCGGCCTGCACTAGTCTTGCCGGAACCCCACTGCTCTTCAAAGTCCGTGTGCTAAAGGCACCCAGGGTTGACTCCCTTGACCCCCCCTCACGGACACGGTAACCTGAAAGCCGAGCCTCAAACAAAAACAACCGCAACCTGGAGAACGAGCGCAAAGCGAGCGCAAAGCGAGCGCAAAACAGGCTGACCCCCCCATCTCGAGCCTAGGACTGACACCCCGTTCTGAAGCATCGGCAAAACACAAAGAGCAACTAGATTTGCCTGAACCTGAAGCAGCCAAGAGCCCCTCCCGCTCCCCGAAGTGCTGCAAGCCAACACAGTGAAGCTTGACGACGAGCGGACCCTTGCTGAGAGGAGAGCATGACCCCAAAAAGCAAAAACGGTTGGACTGCACGAAAAACGCACGACGACCAAGAGCCCCGGACATGCAGGAGTGCTACAAGCCAAAGCCAACATGCTCACGCAGAAGCCCCCACCGCAACCCCACTGCTCTTCAAGGTCCGCATGCTAAAGGCAAGCACGAAGAACCCAGGGTTATCCTTGAGCCCCCCTCACGGACCATTCCACAGATTGGTCTTCGAGATCGACAGGCCGGTATCCGCAGCCAATGCTCTCGTCACCGCTGCTTCCACTATCAAAGCAATGTCTGTCGGAACGGCTTCAACCTGAAGGCAACAACACAAGTAACTGACGCTAGATACGTTTGCTGATGTTTGCTGGCCCAACACAAGCAACGACACGTACAAGCAGAGTTAACAACAAGAAACAACCACACGAATGCTCCTCTCTGCAACCTCTCACGAAAAGCCTCATGCTAAACGCTGCTGTTCAAGCCGGATCGTCCGTGCACTGAAGACGCCAAGAACAAACCGAGAAGGCAGTGTGGGGACAGCTCAACGAAGAGGGGATCCTATGAGATTCCGGTCTGACACGAAAGGCACGAAACCAACAAAACCCATGATGTGACGAGCCAGCTCTGTTCAAGCCCCCGGCCTGGAATCCGCTTGCGGCCGTCGGCGGGGCAGAAACAGCAGCGATGCGCTTGGCCAGGACTTCAGCGGGGCCCATGAGAATGCCAACCGTTCGCATCTTCTCCGCAGTCAACTCCAGGAGCGCGGTGCCCCTCACGTCGTTCTGCTTCAAAATCTCGGCAATGCTCTGCCCCTTGTCGCCGTAGTTCTCCGTTTCCAAGGCCGCCCGGACCCAAGAACTGACCTGCCATGCATGCTCGCAGACCCGAAGCTCAAGCAAGAGACATGCAAATCGCCTCGTCCACGCCAAACTGCCGGATCTGCTCAGCTGTTTTTTGCAGCCACTGGGCCTGCGCCAATGGGCACAGCCTAAAGGATGCTCCAGTCCGCGAGGCTGCACGGACAGCTCGCCTGATCGAAGCCTGCTTTGGCCTGCAGGAGCCACGCAGACATGCGAAGCCCGCACCAGCAAAAACACAAACTCCCCGAAAGTGCCTGGGTCGTCGCCTCTTCCACCTCTTCCACCTCATACTTTGCTGAGGAAGCCTCCAAACATGGACTGACCCGAAAAGACATGTGCTGCTGGCAGAGTTGAGCGTTTGGAGCACCTACATCATAAGCACCAGACAAGTTGAAGCGGGTCAGAAAGGCAAAACATGGCAAAACCTGCTTTTGGGGCCTGGAGTTGCAAAGTGCTGGCACGAACACAAGCTGACTGACAACCCAAACACCTCAAGCACCAAGGACATGAGTGCACGCCTTCTTCCCGGTAATCCCCTGCGTGGCATCTTCGACCGTTTCAGCGGTCTGTGATGGGACAGCCTGCTTTAGTAGCATGCTTTAGCGTGAGTCACAAGTAACGCAACACGACAAACCCTTTTCTCTTCGTTGTCTTCGGCCTCACCACCATCCAAAGTGCCATCAGCCTCAGCTCTGCAGGACATAAGCTTAACACTGAACTTCTCTCGGTCTCGGCTTCCCGCCTCAGCCCTGCGTGCAACGAGCAAGCTGCGTGCCCATATTCCTGCAGGAACCGACCTCGCTCTGGCTTGCGGATTTTGGGACTCCATGCCATACATCACATCCCACCTTGAAAACGGCACGGCCCCCGCTCCAAGCAAAGCCCGCGCCGTCTGCGTTGCTTGCCTGAACTGCTCGCGAACACCTCTGACACTGTTCAAAGCGCCGGTCTTAGGCTCTGGCTGACACGTCAAGAACAGCGCCAGTAGCACCAGCACACGCCTGAGCTTGCGTGATGTTGCTGGAGGCCGGCTCATGGCGGCAATCGTCCTAGCTGTCCTCTTGCTTGAGCAAAAGCACTGCAATCTCCACCTTTTTCAGTTTGACTGCTGGTTCATCCCTCCAAGCCATTATTTTCACTGGGTGAGTTACCTCACGTATGCTTTGTTAGCCACTTCGCTTGTCTTCTTGCTGAATCAAAACAATCGTGACCTGTTTCCGCTCGGACACGCTTGCCAGCGCATCACAGATCGGCCCTGCGTGAGAATTTGTGTTGTGGTTCGTTACAAACATGACAACGTGCATATGCTTTCCTTCGGTGAGAATGTCTTGATTTGTCGACATGCCGTCCGCGACCGTGTAGCATGCCAAGTGTTTAGTTTGCAACCAACTGCAACTCAACATGCGCAGCAGTTGCAAGTGTGGCCCGGCGTGCACAGGCAACTGCTGCAAGATGCCTCGGTCAGATTCGGTCAGGGTTCTCGTCGCCGGGGATCGGTCCTTGCGGCGACCGTGAAATGTGAAACCCTGGCCGTCCCTGAAGGCCGTGAAATGTGAAACCCCGGCTCCGTGAAATGTGAAACCCTGGCCCCTCCACCTCCGAAGGCCCTTGAAATGTGAAACCCTGGCCCCCCCGAAGGCGCGTGAAATGTGAAACCCTGGCCCGCGAAGGCGCAACCCTGGCCCCCCGAAGGCGCGTGAAATGTGAAACCCTGGCCACCCCCCCAAAGGCGCGTGAAATGTGAAACCCTGGCCCTTCGAAGGCGCGTGAAATGTGAAACCCTGATCCCCCCGAAGGCCCGTGAAATGTGAAACCCTGGTCCCCCGAAGGCCCGTGAAATGTGAAACCCTGACCCCTCGAAAACGCGTGAAATGTGAAACCCTGGTCCCTCGAAGGCCCCCCGAAGGCGCGTGAAATGTGAAACCCTGGTCCCCCGAAGGCCCGGCGTGAAATGTGAAACCCTGGTGCCCCGAAGGCCCGTGAAATGTGAAACCCTGGTCCTCCGAAGGCCCGTGAAATGTGAAACCCTGGCCCCCCCGAAGGCGCGTGAAATGTGAAACCCTGGCCTGCGAAGGCGCAACCCTGGCCCCCCGAAGGCGCGTGAAATGTGAAACCCTGGCCACCCCCCCAAAGGCGCGTGAAATGTGAAACCCTGGTCCCCCGAAGGCCCGTGAAATGTGAAACCCTGATCCCCCCGAAGGCCCGTGAAATGTGAAACCCTGGCCCTTCGAAGGCCCGTGAAATGTGAAACCCTGGTCCCCCGAAGGCCCGTGAAATGTGAAACCCTGGTCCCCCGAAGGCCCGTGAAATGTGAAACCCTGACCCCTCGAAGGCGCGTGAAATGTGAAACCCTGGTCCCTCGAAGGCCCCCCGAAGGCGCGTGAAATGTGAAACCCTGGTCCCCCGAAGGCCCGGCGTGAAATGTGAAACCCTGGTGCCCCGAAGGCCCGTGAAATGTGAAACCCTGGTCCCCCGAAGGCGCGTGAAATGTGAAACCTTGGTCCCCCGAAGGCGCGTGAAATGTGACACCCTGGTCCCCCGAAGGCCCGTGAAACGTGAAACCCTGGTCCCCCGAAGGCGTGCAAAATGTGAAACCCTGGCGTCCCGAAGGCCCGTGACATGTGAAACCCTGGTCCACTGACCAAAACGCCCCCTGCGGCCTCCCAGATATCACATTTCACGCCCCCATGCGGCGCCCCAGGTTTCACATTTCACGCCTCCCGCGGCCCCCCAGATTTCACATTTCACGCCCCGCTCCGGACCCCCAGATTTCACATTTCACGCCCCGCTGCGGCCCCCAAATTTCACATTTCACGCCCCGCTCCGCCCCCCAAATTTCACATTTCACGCCTCCTGCTGCCCCCCAAATTTCACGTTTCACGGCCCCTGTGGCCTCCCCCCAGGTTTCACATTTCCCGCTCGGTGCGGCCTCGCGGCCCCCCAAGTTTCACATTTCACGGCCCCTGCGGCCTCCCCCCAGGTTTCACATTTCACGCCCCGGTGCTGCCTCGCGGCCCCCCAAGTTTCACATTTCACGGCCCCTGCGGCCTCCTTCCAGGTTTCACGTTTCACGCCCCCTGCGACCCCGAATTCGGCCCTTTCACACCGCAAGATTCCTAGGCCCTTGACCCTGCCTCCGAGCGAAGAGGTCGAGGACGAAGATACGAGCAGCACACGAGCGCCTGCGCAGAAGGGTCGGGGGTCTCGGGAAAGGAAGGGACTCCTCGACCACGCAGCCGCGAAAAAACACTACCGCGAAGTAACCTTTCACTACCCAGAGCATCCGATATTGAATTTTTTCAAAAAAACAATAGGGTTTTGAAATTTATGTAAAATCAAGCGTTTCTGGATTTTTTCAATAGAGAACTTTTGCATGAAATTCAATAGAAGAGTAGAGTCAAAATCAATCGAGGATATCACAAAACCGATCCCATAAAATCAATCGAGAGAGCATGCATAAAATCAATAGAGAATGCACAGTAAAATCAATAGAGAATCCAGAATAAAATCAATAGAAAATCCAGAGTAAAATCAATAGAAAATCCACAGTAAAATCAATAGAAAATCCATAGTTGCAGGGGCTGTCCAACCCTTTTGGTTTGGGCTTTCCAACCCATATGCAGCCAATTCTTGGCATGCAGTTGTGAAACGAATCATTTCGTATGACATGCAAATACACACACACACATGCATACATATACATATATCTTTAATTCCTGGGCCGGGCTTCCCAACCCATACACACTTGAGTAACAGCACTAGACTTCCAGATCCTTGCATGCGCTTTTTAATCCCCTCACAAGGCGATCCCCATCGATCTGTTAATTAGTCCATCGTGTCTATGACAGCTGTCTATGACTTTAAAACACGACGGATCCACATAAGCTCCAGCTGCCTGCTCCGAACGGCCTGTTCTGATTGCAGCTCCTCAAGCTCCAGCTCCAAGCGGTACCCCCGGCATTCAACGTGGTCCAGAAGGGTCTCCTCCTCACACTGCGCCATGAAACTCCGACACCAGATGGTCAACAGCTGCTTGGCCAAGCGGGTTGGTGCTCCACTGGCCCGAAGTTTTTGCAGAATGATTTCATCTTCCATGATGGGCGAGCTTGAGCAAAAATAGCTAGCACATAAAAACACCATAAAGGTTTGCGTGGCTAACTGGGCTTTCCAACCCATGCAATGACCATGAGTGCTTTGCCCTCGTGGCCCTATCTGTCGTCCTGCTGGGCTTCCCAACCCATGTTTCCAACCCCTTGGGCATTTGCTCCTTTTTTTCAGCTTTCCCAGTTCGAGCTGAACTCAATCGGACTCTCCCCTGGCAGACGAATGCTGTGCTTGCACAGCAGACACAGCACGGTCCACCTGCTGACGAAGCTGATTCAGGGCCTCGTGAAGTTCCTGCCTGAAAGCAGCAAAGTCGTCCTCACTAACGGGGCCGTTGGCAAACTCAAAAACCGCAAAACGATTCTCGAGGTTTTCGACCTCGCCAGACACGTGCCGCAAAGAATTCAGCACAGCCTGGTTCGTGATCTCCACTGCAGCTAGTCGCTGCTCCAAAACAGAACAACGATCGTCCTGGTTCGTGATCTCCACTGCAGCTAGTCGCTGCTCCAAAACAGAACAACGAGCGTCAATGACACTTTGGAAGAAAGATTCCAGAGCAGCAAAGCGAGCAGACAATTCTGCCTCTGAATCCATGCGGCTCCGCTGGCTCAAAGTCCTAGCTCGAACTTAAAGCACATGTAGTTGAGCAAAAATAGCTAGCACATAAAAACACCATAAAGGTTTGCGTGGCTAACTGGGCTTTCCAACCCATGCAATGACCATGAGTGCTTTGCCCTCGTGGCCCTATCTGTCGTCCTGCTGGGCTTCCCAACCCATGTTTCCAACTCCTTGGGCATTTGCTCCTTTTTTTCGAGCTTCCCAGTTCGAGCTCTCCAAAGACAGTCCTAGACCTCGAACTCCAAAGACACTGTGAGCCTCCTGAGCTTTTCTGGCTCCTTGTCCTTCTTGTCCTCTTCTTTGAAGGCTTCTTTCACAGGCTCCGGCTCAGGCTCTTCTAGCAACGGTTTCTCATCATCCTTCTGCGGGTATTCTGGCAGCACAGCTCCCGGAACTCCTGGAAGTACCAGTGTCGAGGCTTGGCTCAGGTTCGGCTCCTCTCCATCAGCATCTGGGTCCTTCTTCTTCGAAAGGGCTTCTTCTCTGGCATCCATCTGCTCCTCGATGCGGCCAAAAATTGCACTAAAAACGTTTATTGATATCCTTATTTGCCTAAGTAGTGTATTCATTGCATGACTTCACCCGCGAGAAGAAACACGTCCACCTTGGGGATCTTCTCGTGGCTTTGGGCCGGCTTCTTCAGTGCAGGCTTTCGCTTCACCTTCTGGTCCTGGCAGTGGCGCAAAAAAACGATGTAATCTACATAAAAGTTTGCTACCCCGCCTTTATGGCGGGCTTCTTCTGAAGGGCCATTGCTTGCACTAGCTACTTAAGCCTTGGGTTCCACAGCTCGAACTGCCAAAAAAAACATCTTCATGTTCATGCAGCTACCGGGCTCTCCAACCCGGGCCTATATCATTCCACAGACATGAACGGTGCTGTAGGGCTATCCAACCCATGCATAACATTTTGCCTTCGATCAGTCATCCAAGTCCAAGTCCACAACCCTCCTGAGCAAAAGATCCCACAGGAACCTATACTTGGCCATCATGGCAGCGGGAAGCTTGACAGCGGCGGTGCTATGCACACAGCTGCCGGCCAAATGAACCATAGTTCCCATGAAGCTCTCGGCACCGTAGCGCCACGTCCTCATGAAGGCGTGCTTGCAAATCCCGTAGACGTGTTATGGACAGGGAAAATCTGAAATGCGGTCCAAGCTACAACCGCGGGTTCATAAACATGGCCGTGGAGGGCATGTGGGCAGTGAGGTGGAACTTCTGGACCATAGAATATCTCAAGAGCTTTTTCTCAAAGCAATGTTTTCCAAGCCATTGGTAGTGTTTCAGACATTTCTCCACGGACTTGCTGAATGCGATTTGGTCCTCCTTCTTCCATCTCACATCCGGCTGGTCCACCAAATCCTGATACATACAGTCTTCTTAAACCTATAGTTCGCGAAACTCTACACTTGAAACAAACTCTTCGGCAATTATTCTAGACATCCAAGGTGCATACATCTTCGCCAAAGCTTCAATGGCCAAGAAGCGATGCTGGGATTTTGGGTCCTCGTCCTCGGATAAGGTCCAAAAAAAAAGGATCCTGTAGCAGCATCTGTGAAAACAACCAACTACAGCATGACATAATATCTCAGGCAGGTTTCCTTGTACCGTTCTGCAAGCGACAGAGCAACCGGCACGAAGTGCCTAACTCGGCGTCCTTTCACATGTTTGAGAACCGGAAATACTTGGTTGGACTTCGCCACGTCCCTCCATTTCAATCTTCCGATTCTCTGGCTGGCAGCCACATGCAATCCTTCATAAATGGACTGTATTTCCTCATAAATCTCTTTCCAGCGGTCGTCCCTGTTTCCATGGCCTGTATCCTCAACCAAGTCCCACAAAAACGATCCGAGGAGGTGGCAGCTTATGCCCAGATCCCATGTGTGCAGAGTGTCCAAAGCAATTGCAAGTGGGTTGAGGCCAGGGATGGCGAAGAGCTTGTGGCCGCCGAACTCGTTGCAAAAGTCCTCTGCTGTCTTCACTTGCGTTCTCCAAGCAGCACTTGCTCTCAGGTCGTTCCATGGTACATCTGTCCTTCGCTTCATAGCACATATACTTGTCTCATACACACACACATATGCATATCTGTTTATACATGTACATGCATAAACAGATACATATACATTTACATATACATATACAAAGACATATACATATACATATAAATATACATATACGTGGGAAATAGCATAACAAAACATGCGAATGCACACATAGCATCTGGTTGCACCAGCACCACGGGCAGGGATGCTGCTGGTTGTGTCGCGGGAAAGCAAACTCAGAATAAAACCAGTCCAGGTCACCGATGATTGCAAAGACCATCCCAGTTCTATGCTTTGCCATCCGTTTGAAACTGTCCACGATGGCGTCCCACAGATCAGCCAAAAGCTTTTCCGTGACAATACATTTTGGAATTGTAAACAACACCTCAGTGAGGCTTGGACTTTAGCTATAAAAGAAACCACTATTTAATATGCATTCGGAAACAAAAGTATTCTAGACTTTCATGCCGATTAAACATCCAAGGCACCAGCTGGCTGTGGTTCACCGGTAGTTTCGAGGTCATACTCCTCATACTCACCGTCAGCAGCGAATCAGTCTCGGTGTGCGGTGCGGCATCACCGTGCCTGATTTTTTTCTCGTGACAGCAAAAAACATCCTGATGGGCTGTCCAACCATTCTGTAACAAAAACAATCCAAGAACAAAAAGAAGTCTAAGCCTATATCCTTGGGCTGTCCAACCCATTCAATCCAGTCCATTCACCGAAACTGAAAGTATTTCTGATCTTCATGGGTTCCTTAGCGATTGTTCTTCTCGTTACACGGGCTGTCCAGCCCTTCCAACCCTTTGGCTGTCCAACCCTTCTGTGTCTTCATTCCTTCGCCATGGCCATATTCTCCTTACAGGGTCCTTCAGCTCGTCGGCTCCTATGCGTGGCTCGGCCTCGGTCCTCTACACCCACAATCCATTCTGTAACAAAAACAATCCATGGGCTGTTCAACCCTTCTGCATCAAGTCCATTCCTCATCCGGGGTCCCCTCCTCAAAGTCACTCCTTCATGCCTTTGTTCCACCCGATCATCTCGTCCTTGCTGGCTGTTGCTTCTGTGACCCCCCAAACTGCCTTCCTTCCTTACATCTGGGCTGTCCAACCCCTCAAACTCTTTCACATCCATGGGCTGTCCAACCCATTCAAAGAAGTCCAGAACCATAAGTGGCGGGTGTTCTCCCTCCAGATATTCTTGGGATCCCGGTCTGTCCAACCCCTCAAACTCTTTCACATCCATGGGCTGTCCAACCCATTAAAAGCAGTCCAGAATTCTCAAGCCACTGAGCCCATGGCACACGAGGCTCTTCCTCGTAGCTAAACCACAAGTGGCGGTTGTTCTCCCTCTGGGTTGTCCAACCCATCAAACTCTTTCACATCCATGTGCTGTCCAACCCATTCAATGCAGTCCAGAATTCTCGAGCCAGTCAGCCCATGGCTGTCCAACCCTCTCTGTAACAAAAACAATCCTTGGGCTGTCCAGCCCTTCTGTACCAAAACCATTGATGCGGCCAAGGTGCAGTGCAAAGGGCACGACGTGATTCTTGTCAGCGTCTTTGGAGAGGTTGCGGAAAAACGATTTTGAAGCTTGTATCCTGGGGTTGTCCCATTGCAACTGCTCCTTCCAAAAGTTTTTCCACGTGATTCCTCCTGTCAGCGTCTTTGGAGAGGTTGCGGAAAAACGATTTTGAAGCTTGTATCCTGGGGTTGTCCCATTGCAACTGCTCCTTCCAAAAGTTTTCCACTCCATCCATGCCCAACACCTCCTCGAAGTTGCTGTCCTTGAGGGAGCCGATCCAGTCCTCCGGCAAAACAACAGGTACCTCTCCAGGGCATTCCGTCTCCGTTCCAGTAGGACTCTTGCCCTTCAGCGTGGACTTGATCATCCGGCACTCCGGAAACACCATGTCCTTGAAGAAGTTTCTCTTGAGGTCCCGTTGTATGTTGCCTTATACTGGTTGTCAAGAGAAACATGTATACATGTATACATTCACTTAATTAAGTCTCCATAAAGCTAAGAAACCCCAAAGATATCCTATGTGTAGTCTTACAATTTTCCATGGTTCGAAGTACTTAAGTTAAGTTTTGTTCATAGAGCTAAAGAACACCAAAAAAATCCAGTGTGTAAGAGTCCATGGTTCCAGGTACTTATACAAATACATATATACTGTATCTACAATATATTGTTGGTAGAGCTACGAAACACCAAACATAATCCAATTTGTAAAAGTCCAAGGTTCCAGGTTGCAGGCCGTCACACCCCAATCTCTTCAGTGCATTGACATCTGGTGCATCGCAGCCAGACATGACGGCTGCACTGGCCACTTCCTGAACCAGAACTGCTGGGATATCTCCACTGCTCCATCGTTTCAAAAGCAGAATAGCCAAAGGGGATTTCAGTTGCTCCTTCCTTGGTGGGGGGCTCGCTGCCCTCTTCCTCGAGCTTGCCATGGCTGGGTACAAGAGTGGGTTCGGGGATTATACAAAAGACATAGCATGCTGAGTTCTTTGCGGAATTTGCCAAACAGATATGGAAGTTACAATCTTTTCTTGAGGCAGCGATTACACGGAGCTAAAGGTTAATTTTTCGGGCTAGTGGGTTCGGCGGATTATCCAAAAGACATATGATGTTGGTGCCTGTTTCAAGGTTCTAGGCTTTAGGGAATTTGCCAAAAAGCTATGGAAGTTACAATCTTTTCTTGAGGCAGCGATTACACGAAAAGAGTTAATCCAAACTTTAAGGTTCATTTATCGGGCTTACACCAACCCAGCAGCGTGGACTGTCCAGTCCGGGTACACATAACAGGGCTTAGCCAACCCAGCAGCGGGGGGTCCGTTTTTTTCTTCTCGGATCGTCCTGCCGGCTCGTTGTTCCTAGACCTTCTTTTTGGCCTGCGATTTCGCCTGCTTGGCAAGTCCTAGTGCAGCCACTGCATCTTGCAAGGCAGATCCTACATCCTCGGCTTTCATCTTCGCTGATCCTTTGAACTTCTCCAAGCAAGTCTTGGATTCCTCAGCCTTTGTCACTGCCTGGCGATGTTGTTGTTATTTCACTAAATGAAAGGGCTTCTGGGGAATTTGTGAAAAGAAGGGATTGGGGGGTTTTCCAAAAACCATATGAAAGTAACGATCTTTTGTAAGGTTTAGGGTGTATGAAGAGTTTAAGGCATTCTCCAAAAGAGGTGGAATTTATGATCGTAGTAGGGGTATTTATGAGTTCTAGAGTTCGGGTAAACGGTTTAGTTTAGCATCTGGGGTTTGGGATTTGATGCCAAGGGCTTACCAACCCAGCTAAGGGCTTACCAACCCAGCAACATGTGCTAGCTGCTAGCTTACACCGGCTGGCCTGGCTTTCATTCTCCCACTTGTTTCTTTTTTCTTCTTTTCCTCCCTCCTCCTTCTCCTTCCTCCCCCTACCCTTTGTGGTAGCCAACCCCAGGGGGTCCTCGTCCGGGTCGACCTCGTCGCCTGACCCCTCTTCGAAGTCGAAGTCATCCACCATGACCGGCCCCTCTTTCATTCCCCTTTTCCATTCGAGCATGTCCTCCTTAGTTGCCCCTGCCTCGGAGAATCCGCTCCTCTGCTGCGACTTCTCCGTCCA